GGAGCCTGATGCGGGGCTCAATCCCAGGACCCCGGGAACATGACCTGAGCCACCCAGGAGCCCCTCTTTACAGTATTTTATTTAATATTATTATTTCCTTTCTTCTGCTTACTTTGTTTTTATTTATTTTTTGTTTTCACTTATTTTTTTCTTCTGATTCTTAGAATGGAAGCTGAGGTCATTGACTTGAGATTTTTCTTCTGTGTAATATAGGCATTTTGGTGCTATAAATTTCCCCCTAAGTGCTGCTTTAGCTGCCTTTCACAAATTTTAATATGTCATGTTTTCATTTCAGTTTAGTTCAAAATACTTTCTAATTCCTCTTTTGATTTCTTCTTTGATCCATGGGTTATTTAGAAGTGTGATAGTTCAAAATATCTGGAGATTTTCTAGATATCTTTTTGTTACTGATTTCTAAATCATTTCCACTGCAGCCAGAAAATACACTTTGAATCTTCTCAAATTTAATTGAAACTTGTTTTATGGCCCAGAATATAGTCTTTCTTGTTTGGTGTTCTGGGTGCCCTTGGAAAGAATGTGTATTCTGCTGATGTTTGATAGAGGGCTTTTGTAATGCCACTGGTTATGCCGAGTCACTTGACAGTGTTGTTCAAGTATTCAAACTTCTGACTATAACTTGTCTATCCTCACAGTTCTATTATCTTTTGCTTCATGTATTTTGAGAGTGTGTTATCTGGTGCATAAGTATTTAGAATTGTTATGTGCTTTTGATGAATTGACCCCTTTATCATAATGAAATGATCCTCTTTGTCCTGGTTGTATTCATTGCTCTGACATATATTTTGTCTGATATTAATATAGCCACCCCAATTTTTTTATTAGTGTTAGTATGGCATATCTTTTTTTATTCTTTTACTTTTAATCTACTTATATTTTTATATTCAAAGTACATTTCTTATAGAGACCAGTTGAGTCTTGCTATTTTACTTAATCAATCTTTGCTTTTTATCTGGATGCTAAGATCATTTACATTTAATGTATTTGTGAAAATAGTTGGTTTAAATTTACCATCCTATTGTTTTCTATTTCTGTCAGATTTGTCTCTTCTAATCTTATTCTCTTTCCATTTTCTGTCTTCTTTTGGATTAATTTAATATTTTTATTTTTTTTCTAATATATACTGTATTCTTTTTTTAATTTAATTTGGTTTTATTATGTTATGTTAGTCACCATAAAACACATCATTAGTTTTGATATAGTGATCCATGATTCATTGTTTTTGTATAATACCCAGTGCTTCATGCAGTACATTTAATAATTTTAAAGCATCCATTTTATCTTATTTTTGGCATATTAGCTATACATCTTTTAATATTTTAATCATTTCTTTTGGGTTTATAGTGTACATCTTTAACATACACAGCCTAACTTAAAGTAATATTATACTATGTATGCTATTTACAGTACAAGAACCTTACAATTCTAGTTTCATATCTTTTCAACAAATAATCCCAATAAAATGATCATTTCTCCATTTCAGTATCAATTTTTCAATCCCAGAAAGGACTCTAAGTGGCCTTGCTTGGGTTCCATACTCATCCCTGAATAAACAACAATGGACATGGGCATGAATATTTTGCTAAGCCTGAATTCCTGCAGCAGCCCTTCTAGAACTTCATGGAATTGGAAAGGAGCTCACCGGAAGAACCTAAGAAGAGGAATGCAAAAGTGCACTAATTAGACAAAAACTAGAACTATCATAGACCACTACAGGCAAACATATCACATTACAGATTGGCAGGTGGAGAATTCACTCACACTTGCTATAAATTCCCAATATATTTTGCTGACTATACTGAACTTGCCCATACAAAGCAGGAGCAAATGAAGCATTTCTTTATATGACATTTTCCTGCCCCTTGTCTCCCCCAGGGCACACAGCCACTGGTGACGCTTTGCATATCTGATTCCTGTCAAGCTGAAAAAGAAGCCAAACGCTGCACCACCCTTTTATATTTGACTTTTATCAGCACTCTGGAAAAATTTTTACAAACAATATAAATACTCCTGTGTAGGGCAGTTTCTCAACCTTGAAACTATTGACATTTTGAACCAGATAATTCGTTGCAGGGAGGGGCTGCCCTGTGCATTGTAGGATTTTAGCAGCAACCCTGGACTCCAGCTGCTAGATGTCAGTAACACCTGCCTCCCCAGTTGTGACAATAAAAATTTCTCCAGATAGTGCCAAATGTCCCCCAGGAGAGCAACATTGCTCCTAACTGAGAACCACTGGTTTAAGGAAATGTTTGCTAACATCAAGATCTATACGTTCTTGACCCCAAATCAACATCAGCTAGTGGGGAAAAAGCAGAATTAACATTAGGTGACATCAACTCCTGTTCCATATCCCTGCAAGCCTATCTGTCCTTAAGGGATGGCGTCTGATGTTCCCCTACTACAAAAACAGCTCCCAGCACCTGGAAAAGAGCAGTGCTCAACCACCACAACCATAGCCAATGTTAAAAGAATAAGTGAATGAGTGGATGGATGGATGGATGAAAAGAAAAATAGAAATTATTCACAGTGTTACTCTGGGGAAAGGAGTGGTACAGAGGGTGTATATACATAAGAAAAGGATTTTTACTGTTTCACTAAGAGTTTCTATTTGAGTTTTTTCATTTTTATTTGCATGACTTAGAAAATTTTAACTTTTTTATTTTATTTTTAAAGCACTTGGAAATCAAATCAAGCATTTTCTCTTTGGTAACTATCTTTAATTTTCTGGGTTTTGTTGTTTGTTTTTTTGGAAGTACAAATGTGGACTTCAGCCCTAGCTGACCTTTCGAATACTCTATCACCAAGTCTGAAGCTTAATTTTTTTTTTAGTTTAACTCATGAGCAAAGAGCCATACTATGAGTATTTGTGAATGGGATTTACGTTGGGAAGAAAATGTACTTAAGGCAAAAGTAACTGACTTGTCATATTCAGTTATGTGCACTGGGCTCGAGGGCAGGGTCTGGGGTACACATCTTGAACCCTATAGAGCTTGGGTAAGTGCAGGCCTTCCAGAATTTTATGCTGGGGAATTTGGTGATGATGAAGCTTCCTAGGCATGATTCTGGTCACTCCTGTTTTGCTTTGTCAAACTCAGATTTTCTGGGCAGAAGGAGAGAAGGGGGTGGTGAGCTAGGTGCAGTGAGCAGCCCCCTGAGGGAGGAACAGGTGTTTTGGCCTTTTTGCTTAAGGCAGGCAGGAGAAGTCAAAGGGCAAAGGAATAGGGCAGGGAGTGTGGAAGGAAAAAGATAATTTGTGGGGACAGCTGTTGTTTCTCTTTCTCCTGTGCCACCAGCAGGAAGATGGGTCAGATCCTCCCTCTTCAGGGAGAGCAGACCTCCATCCTGCAATGGGAAGCCCAGCAGCATGAAACGGTCCAGTGCCTGCCCCAGGTGACACCCCAGCTCCTGTAGAATTCTGGTTTCTCCACCCCAGACAGAAAGGCCCAGCCTCCTGGGTCTCTTGAGATCTGGGCTCCAGGATCCAAGAGAGCCTGGCCTGCAAAGTGAGGTTATTTATTTACATGAGGCAGGCGATGCACGGAGATGCAGAGCAATCCATCTGCCTTAGCCACCAAACAGATTCCCTTTGCCTCATCCTCTTGCAGAAGCGGTCAAGGTAGGGAGGCTGGGCGAGATGACCTTCCAGAACTGAATCTTTGCTTCTAAAAATAGAAGCATCCTTGGAGAATCAAGGAGGACGGGAGGCTGTGGATGTTGAGGGCAAAACCCGGACTTCCCAGAGCATTGTCAATATGAAACTGTATTAATTAGATGAAGGCTCCCAGCTCAATAACGTTAGGTATCACAGATATTGAAACTAAATGAACTGGCTCCCCCCCTCCTTTCTGGTAACACTCTCCTTGGGCTAAAAAGGAGAAAGAAGACCATGTCTTCTGACCTATTTGAATGGCTGCACACTGCCTGAGGAGATGTCTTCCCCAGCAGAGGGAAACGGGCTCCTTAGGGACACACCAAGAGAAGGCCAGAGCTGCAGTTAAGTGGGAGCCCCTGAGGCCAGCAGCAGGGGGTCACCAACCCATCTCCCTGGGTGGAGCCCGCGCAGGGCTCTGTGTGAGGCTGGGCAGGGCCGGGTGAGTGTCTGCGTGTGTCCACGACTGTGGATGGTGTGTGGGGGTCTGCAGGGCCCTTGTCTAGAGCCAGATGGTAGGGACTAGGTATTTCAGGATCCAGTGGCGCTGTGTGTTGGTCTGCACACGTAGTGTGTGACCGGGTTGTGTGCAGTGCTCTGGCGGGTGAAGGGTTGTGTCTGTGTGTGTGTGTGTGTGCATGCACATGTGTGTGTTTTGGGGCGAGGTGTCTGCTGGAGTGGAGTGTACAGAAGTATTATGGCCATCCTGGGGGTGCTGTGTCAGGGAGTGTGTAGGGCTGTAAGGGAAGGAGGCATAGGGATAGTGACTATTTGGAGGACTTTGTGGGCTGATGTAGAGCCTGTGGGAAAAACTCTGGGGGGAAACTCCATAGAAGTGGGGACCTGCTTGAGACGCCGCAGGAGGCTGCTCAGGGCTGTGTGCAGAGTGTGTCTGGGCTGCTGGTGGGGCTGTGCCATCCTACAGAGCCCCTCTTCAGGCAGCTTTGTCCTGGGGGCCCTGGGGGATTGTGGTGGCACTATGAATGGAGCCACATGGGGGACTCTGGGAAATAGTTAAGGCTCTGGGGGGTGCATTCAGGGCTGTGGGGACCTGTGTGAGGCTGCGGAGGGCTGGATAGAGGGTGGTAGAAGTCCTGCGTGGCCCCCACAGCCTTGCCATCTGAGTGTGGGCTGTACTTCCTTAGGGGCAGGGGCCCCCAAAGTCCAGGCATCTGTTCTTCTCCGTGTGACTGACGTGAAGGGAGAGACAGCAGGGACTCACAAGAGGAGCAAGAGGAGAAGTGCATCCCTTCTAGAGCTGCCCTGCAGCTGATCCTTATGCACACTGGGCTCAGGACACTTTCTAATGCGTCCCTTTGTGCTTTCTCCACAGGACAATGTGGATCTTGGAGAGTTGATGTTTTCCCTCTGCTATCTTCCAACTGCTGGCAGGCTGACCATTACCATTATAAAAGCAAGGAATTTAAAGGCAATGGACATAACAGGAGCATCAGGTGGGACATTCTCAAATTCAGACTTCTTCATAGGGTTCTAATATAGTACTTTCATGAAGTCTTCGGTAGAGTAATTAGGCGCATGGGACCAAACTACCTAGGTTTAATCCCAGTGCTAGACCTCATGGCTGTGTGACCCTGGGCAAGTCACTTAACCTCTCTGCGCTTCGGATTCCCCATCTGTAAGATGAGGGTCATAATAGTATCTGGCTCCTTGGGTTGTTGTAAGTTTAAATGAGTTAATGCCTATAAAATAAGAATAGTACCTGGCACATACTATATGCTACCTAATGTGAATAATCATTATTATTCTCTCTTAGGTCTTCTTCATTGAATAATCATTATTGTTCTCTCTTAGGTCTTCTCACCATAATTGTGAATTTGTCCTATAGTTTACACACGCTGATACAGTTTATCTAACTGAGTCTTTCCTCAGATATAAGCAATCACCATCTCGGGCCTATGGAAGATTGAAAAACAATCTTATATCCTCATAAAAAGCCCATCAGTGAACTATGCAGTTTGGTATTGCCAATGAATCAAGCATGTACACTTAAATTCTAAACCGTAACAAAAAACGCCCCAATACGCAGTTCCTACTATACAACCTCTGCTTAAGACACCCAGTCCGCTGGCTATTGATCACAGAAATCAAAGGACACCGGATGCAATAGAGCCTGCTTACTGTCCTCCAGTATTTTTCAAAGAAAAAAAGATGTGGCCCCTTCTGGTCCTCTGAGTTCCTCCTGGACAGTGTACGGGGAGTCAGTGGTTGTGCAGGTGAGGAGAGAGGGAACTCCCCACTGAGCAGAAGGAGAGTGAGGGGGAACCAGAAAAGTCCCACTGGAAGCAGGGACCAGCCTTGTCACCTGTCCCCCTCTGCTAGTGTTATACCACAAGCAAGCCCTTGGGCTTTCTTTCCCTGCCATGCTGCTGCAGGCAGCTCTCCCCAAAGTTCTCCCTGTCATCCAGGTGTTCTGCCTGTCCCTTTCCTAAAGACCTGAGGTTTAGGAAGATTCTCTGGGGCGGCTCAGAGTTCGGGGCCTGTGGCCTGTTTCCCCTGCCTTGGAATTACCTTTGCGCCTCTCCCTGTTGAAGCCAGGCAGGTCTTGAATCTAGCTGGAATATTTTCTAATTCAATAACAGATGTTTTCACACCCTTTTTAAATTCCACACACTTTGAGGAGACAGAGTGCTGTGCTTCTTCTTGAATGAATGTCTTAATTATCCTAACTCTCGTCGCGGCCCAGGCATCGTATTAATTAAAATCCTCAAACTCCAGGCCACAGGCAGGTAAGGGAGTTCTGCCTCCCATTGTCTGTGGAACCCCATCGTGATGAAACTGCCCCCTGAACCCACATTTATCCTCACATTCCCCCCCGCTTCTCCTGCTTGTACAGATCCCTATGTAAAAGTGTCGCTGATGTGTGATGGCAGACGACTGAAGAAGAGGAAAACATCCACCAAGAGGAACACTCTGAACCCTGTTTACAACGAAGCCATAGTCTTTGATGTCCCTCCCGAGAACATTGACCAAATCCACTTGTCCATAGCTGTCATGGACTACGACCGGTGAGAAGCCTGGAGCTCTCTCTCTCTCTCTCTCTCTCTCTCTCTCTCTCTCTCTCTCTCTCGGGGCAGGTTGACCATGCCTGGGGCAGGGAGGGCAGAGGGGGTGCGCGGCCACACATGCTCAGCTGACGGCCCAGGCTGTGGGAAACGAGTCAGGGGAGCCCCCGAGGGAAAGCTGACTGACAGGAGTCGGCATTTTCCACACCATGCTGTAGAGTCCTATTACCCAAGTGCTTCTTTGCTCTTCCCCTTTTCATTTCTTTCTCCTTCCCCATCCTCCCCATCCTCCCCACCTCCTCCCCTCTCCATCCCTGCACACTCCCCAGAATCTCAGCCTGGGAAACTGGGGCCCTGCAGGTCTTAATCTTCTCCCACGCAATCCTGCCTGGCCTTTGTGGGAAGATCCCACTCAAAATAGCAGAGTGATTCCTTTAGCCACACCACCAACATTTCTAAATACATAACTCTGTTATTTTTTTCCCTTCTCCCAATGTGTTTAATAAAGATCATTTCCATCCACTTAAATCTGAAAGCAAACAGAAATGTTCTCTTGAAAATGCTAGAATCAGTATGGATGACAGGGTACATTAAAATGTATAAGATGCTCGACTTTCTAATTAATACAGCACAGAAGAGATATTTATAGCTTGCATTGTGGCCAATTGTGTATTTAAAGGACAGATTTTAAAAACAGTCATTTTAATATGCAAAGGAAGTACCAACAGGGAATTAGACATGTTAAACCAGTCATTAGACTGAAATGCAAAGTCTCTTTTTAATTGGAAACTTCCCATGTGGTCTGGGCACAATTATATAAAAAAAAAAAAAAATCATTCTGACTTCGAGTATAATCTTACAAATATTATTTGTAGCTAAGAATGTTCCCATATACCCCTGAAATGTCAGTAGGGCAGCTTCAGCACCCCGAACACTCTTTCTAGCAGATGCCTAGGTCAAGCAGAACCGTCTTCCAGCCCCAGGAACACATGGCTTAGCTCAGCGGCCCATGGGTGTGACAGCCCATGTCAGGCAATAGACCTTATCCTGTCTTCTCCGTAGGAAACACACCACCAGTGGTGTCAGCCCAGAGGAGGGGCCATTGCCCACCAACCGTGGAAAGCTAGGCCAGCTTTTTTCAAGCGATTGCCAAGTTTCCCGCATCAACAAATCTGATTATATGAGCTCTGCTTCAATTCAATTCTCAGTAAATTCATGAATCTGCCTGGAAAAATCCATGCAACTGCATGCAACTGATTTTAATGAGCATAGCCTCGAATATCCTTCACACTCCCCCACCCATGTCTCGCCCTTATTCCCTACATACAAATAGGAGAAAAACCACTCATCTTTGCAGGATGGAAAAAGAAAGCCCATGAGTTTTGATCCCAAACAGTTAAAGGATGGGTCATATCATCACTGATATGAGGAATTCTTAATCTCAGGAAACAAACTGAGGGTTGCTGGAGTGGGGGGTGGGGAGGGAGGGATGGGGTGACTGGGTGATAGACACTGGAGAGGGTATGTGCTCTGGTAAGCGCTGTGAATTGTGCAAGACTGTTGAATCTCAGATCTGTACCTCTGAAACAAATAATGCAATATATGTTAAGAAAAAAAAAAGAGAAGAAGATAGCAGGAGGGGAAGAATGAAGCGGGGGAAATCGGAGGGGGAGACAAACCATGAGAGACAATGGACTCTGAAAAACAAACTGAGGGTTCTAGAGGGGAGGGGGGTGGGAGGATGGGTTAGCCTGGTGGTGGGTATTAAAGAGGGCACGTTCTGCATGGAGCACTGGGTGTTATGTACAAACAATGAATCATGGAACACTACATCAAAAACTAATGATGTAATGTATGGTGATTAACATAAGAATAAAAAAATTAAAAACAAAAAAGGATGGGTCATATCATTCTAGTTATGCAGATGACATCTAACCAAAAACTACTGAGGGGGAAGAATTGTCCCAAGGTAGGGACGTACCCAGGGAAAATTTCAGAAATATTAGCCCTGAAGTTACAGGAGCTAAGTATCTTTCTATAGGAGGGAAATCAAGTCGGGTCAAAGAAGCAAAGATGGGCTTGGAAGGAAGGAGGGGAGAGCATCAGGATGCATGTTCTCTGAAGAGAGGGATTGCAAGGAGACCCAGGAGCTGTCTCCACCCTGCCCCCTTTGTAAGCTCCAGACCACGGCTGCCCTACCTGGCGCATCTCTCTTACCCATACTTGGTTGCCTCTTATGGGAATTTGAGCAGCCATAATGCAAGGAACTCCTTTCAGATGGCCTCCTTTTCATGATATAGACTTGAAGACCTGGAGGTCTTTTTCCAGGCAGGGATTTTTCCAGGCAAGGATTTTTCCAGGCAGATTCATGAGTTTACTGAGAATTGAATTGAAGCAGAGCTCATATAATCAGATTTGTTGATGCGGGAAACTTGGCAATCGCTTGAAAAAAGCTGGCCTAGCTTTCCACGGTTGGTGGGCAATGGCCCCTCCTGTGGGCTGACACCACTGGTGGTGTGTTTCCTACGGAGAAGACAGGATAAGGTCTAGAACCTAGTTCTAGAACCAGAGTTGTCATGCTTAGCATGCATCAGAAACAAGCTAAGCCATGCCAGTGTCACAAAAGCCAAGGTGTGTGATGGCCACCTAGTGTTCTACTCTTCCTTTCTGTGCCCCCAAGTACAATATTGGATCCCAAGTCCTATTAGCTGTTAAGCTTGTCCTGTAGTTTAAATGAGGGAAGGAGAAGAACCACCCTTGCCCTCATTCCTACTAGTTTAATTGAGTAGTTGTTGCTCTTACCAAAATTTTAAGAAAAAATTATTGTGGGCCATTTTCACAGTGTAGGTCATAATGAGATCATCGGCGTGTGTCAAGTAGGCAACGAAGCTGAGAGGCTGGGCAGAGACCACTGGAGTGAAATGCTGTCGTATCCTCGGAAGCCCATTGCACACTGGCATTCCCTGGTGGAGGTAAGACCCTATTCCCACATGTTGCACTTCGTGGAAGAATAAATGCTTTGCTGTTGAAAGGCAGGAGCCACCAAAAGTTTGAGTATACCAGGTCTGTGGTCACCAATGGGTTTCTCTGTTTGCCCTTCCTGGAGCTTTTGGAAATTGCGTTCAATCTAAGGTTGAGTCTATGCACCCCACCTGTCTGGTAGGTTTTGAACATTGATCATTCATCCCTCACTTTGTTTCTCTTCAAAAATGATAGAGATTCTCTGATTCCATGTTATGGCTTTGGGTTGATATTTGGAAGGTATCTGCAAGATCTGGATGAATGTGGAGTTTCAGGTTGCCATATGGTGACTTATGTGTGGCATCAGAAAGAGTTCGAGACTGGGAGAGAGGAGGCCCGGATTCCAGGACTGGCTCTAGCATTAACCTGTGATCCTGGACAAGCTGGTTAGTATCAGATTCAATTACATGTGATAAAACAACAACAACAACAACAACAAATGCAATAGAAATTTATATCTCTCTTACATAAAAAAAAGGTCCAGAAGGAGGCAGTCCAGGGTGTTATAGTGGCTCTGTGATCAATAGAGACCTAGACTTCTGTCTTTCTGCTTCACTGTCCCAGTATGGGTTTGTTTTGTTTTGAGGCCTCACTGAATAACACGGCTGCTAAGCTCCAACCATCACATATCTTCCAGGTCACAGAAAGGTGGAAAGAGACAAAAGCTAAAAGCACACATATTCTCTTTTAAAGGATTTTCCTTGATGTGTCATGCAACACATCACCCTATGTTTAACTTAGTCACAGAATAGCCACATGGACACATGTGGGAAATGTATTCTTTTGTTGGGTGGAAATATGCCCAACTGAAAACCAGGGTTCTATGTGCAAGGAAGAAGAGAGGAGTGAATACTTGCACACAGTGAGCCATCATTCTGCCTCACACCTTCATTCATTCACTCACCAACCCCCTACCCCATCACTTCTCATTTATGCTTCCCCCATCCATCTTTGTCCATTGACTCACTCTCTTATTTATTTACTAACTCATTCTCTCAAAAACAAATTGCATTCACCAGGTAACATTTGTGACAGTCAAATGCCATATTAGATAAAGAAAGTAGATGGGAATAGGAAACCTTCCCCCACAGAGCTTATAGACCACAAGAGAAACAGAAGAAGGCATGCTAACTAATCATTAAAATGCACAGTCATGAGCTTTAACATCCACATCAGGTGCTACTGGAGCACAAAGGAGGGAGTGAGATTGTCTATGAAGCATTCTCCCTCCTGCTCTTGGTAAGTGAAGGGAAGGGAAGGGAGCCCCTGGGAACGGGACTCCCCAAGGAGCATGGGTTCCAGGCAGAGAACTTTGCTGTCATTCTCCCAGCGCAGGCAGCCCTGCCCTGTGCAAAGCCATCCTGAGAGGCCAAGACAAGAGCCTCGTCAGTGTGGGATCTGCCGCCACTGAGAGTCCGGAGAGTCAAGTTGAAGCAGACGTGCCGGGCAGCTGTGCAGAGGCAGTGGGCCCGGGGAGGAAGGGACAGTCTCCCTTTGTTGGAGGTGGTGCCAGGAGGAGAAGAGCAGTGCAGGCCTTGTGGACTGATTCTAAGCTTCAGGGCCATTGGGTGTATTCGAGCAGCGCCTAGGGCCCCCTAATTTACAGATTCCTGCAGACACCTCTGCCCCTGGGCCATCGAAGCTAGGACTCTTTCTCTCCTGGACTCAAAATTAATCCCTAAGGGAGACCCACAGTCCCTGTGAACCCCCTGAGAAGTAGCTGGGAGACGGATGCTGACCCAGCTGCCGTCGTTTCTGCAGCTCCTGGTAGAGCTCTCAGAGGAGTCCGTGTGGGGCTCATGATACCGCCTGCGCCAGCTAGGCCATCAGAGCAGTTATAATAGGCTTCTTGCACACTTACGAGTCACTGCTGATTTTAATTCTTGCTTGTAATCTGGAGTGTCCCAGAGCTCTCTGCTTCTCAGGACACAGGATGGGGGAAGGGGTGAGGTTTAGGGGTATGGTGTGGGGCTGAGACAGGACCCAATTCGGTGCACAGGCAGCGCCTTCTCAATGCCCTTGCTAGGGAGGAAGGACAGGTGGTGCATTGTCCCAGGAAGGACACTGGGCCCCGAGTGGCAGGGTACGCACGGTACCCAACGGGAAGTGTAAAAAGCATGCCTTGGAAGCTGCCTTCATGGGAGGAAAAAGCACTGTCTGACTTTGCAAACCTAGGAGATAGTCCCTAAACCCTGAGCACTTGGCTTTTTGCAAATGTGTGTATGTCAGCGGTGTGAGTGAGAAATCCATGCTTTTGGGGTTAAACCACTGAAACTTGGGAGTCGTCTGTCACAGCAGCTGGAATGACCGGCTAGCACCACGGGGGTTTCTCAACTGCTGCAGCGGAACCCCCTGCCCGCGCACCTGTGGGAGGGGCCGGCGAGGGTCTCTCTGCCCCGTGGTGTCCTGTCTCCTCGAAGTACGTGCCCAGGACTCCACATCCATCCTGAGAGCAGAAGCCATACTTTCCATCTTAAAAATAAACGTGCAGCTAGCAGAATTGGGGCCCTGGTACCAGATGAGATGAAAAGCAGGACGGGAGAGGTCACCGTGCTTTGCGGACGGCTGTGAGGACAGAGGCGACAGAGCAGAGCCCATGGGTGGAGGCACTCACTTGGATGGAGCTATGTTGGTATCCCTGTGCTGCCCCTCACAAGTTGTGTGCTTTTCCCTGTCTGAATCTCAGTTTTGTCATCTGTGGAGTGGCCATAACAGTGTCTGTCTCCCAAGGGTGGTTGTGAGGAGTAAACGGTCTGATGGATAGATGGGGAGCACAGTGGCAGGCGCGTAAGAAAGGTTCTGCGTCATGGTCATGATTGTGTATGTCCCACATTGGGAAGGACTGCCGTGTGTCCTCATGGGACTCTCATCCACAATGTTAGTCATAGAGGATAAAAGGGAGGTTGGAAGTCCCCTATCCCCTGTATTCCGGGGAGCCATCACCTCAGAATGGGGAAAGGGGTCATTTGAGGCATGACTGGACACATAGATGCACGTACTTAAGTTCTGTTTCTTCTCCTCTCTTCTTATACTCTCTACGAACTTTTAAATGTTCTGCGTGAAGACAAAAACAGCAGTTAAGTCCCAGTTCTGTGTGTGTGCGTGTGTACATAAGCATGTGTGCATGAATGAATGAGAGAAAGGGAAGAGGAAGAATATGGGGTAGTTAGGATTTAGTATAAAGGGAGGCTGACCTGGCAGAAGCTCCTCACTGCTGGGGGCTGAGGGACCAGGTTAGGACTGAACCCTGAGCCCTGCAGAGATCTGGCAGCCGACTCCAGGCTGCATCCAACACACCCTGACCTTGCCAGGGCAGGTGACAGATGGAGTCTTCAAAGCCAATGAGTTCAAAAATCCATTTCTCTCGCAGCGTTTCTGGATGGCTTCACTGCACACTCAAAGGTCAGCCAATACAGTTCCCATTACTCTCCATGATGTCAAAGCCTTGGGAAGCTGTGCAGACTCCCCCAGAGCTGGCTGCCTGGGACCTGGGGACAGGAGCAGCCCCTCCATGGGGCCTCAGGAGGTGACGGAGCTCTTGGAGCTCCTATCACAGCCCCCTGTTTGGTATGTCCCAGAGAAGATGGTGTTGGCCTGGCCACATCCCAGCACCTTTTCCACCCTCCTGCATGTGGAGCTGTCCTCCATCATGAACCCCAGCAAGAGTAATAAAAATAGCTCCAGGTCTTCATGGCTTCCCACTGTAGTGCCGCATAACCTCTGCATTAACAAGTAGTGACCTGGTCTCATGGGAAGACCAGACACGGACACTATTTGGCTAAATAAAATTTTACTTTTCTAAAAGAGTGAGAAGACAGAATATCCAATCAGAATATATAGTGAGGATCAGCAACATTATCCTGACTGGCAGAGGTACAAGATTCTAAACCCCAAAGTCCTACTCAAGTTGTGCTTAGGTGTGGATAAGTCTCCTCTCTCCAAGCTCAGCCTTTCATGCATATATGTATATGAGGCTAACGGGGTTCTGCCCCCAGCTGGTCTGCTGGTCTACAGGGCCACCTCACAGAGCCCAGTGCCCCCTGCAACTCAGAGTTATGCAATCCCCATGCAGCTGAGGGACCCCAATCACTGAGGGACAAGTGTGAAATAGTACACCTGTCTGGCGTGAGCAGAGTACTCATCTACCACCCTCTGGAGCCTCCTTAAAGGTGTAAACTTACAGCTGTAGAACTAAAGCAAACATCAGTTACCCAGACTCCCCTGGGAGTTACATGAGCAGGCCTTTGAAACCAGCTCTGGATAGAATCCATCAAGTGCCCAGCAGAGCCTGCCTGGAGTCTTCGAGGTACACACATTCCCGGGAGAAGCCATTTGATTGCCCTGGTTGGGTCTCCCCTGGCCCAATTTGCTGTAGGTCAGAGGTCTTAGAAAATGTGAGCCAGTGCTCACTTCAGCGTCCTGAGAAGGGCCCAGGCAGGATGGGGAAATTGATGCAGGCGAACCCCACTGCTACCCAGATTGTGAAGTGAACGAGTCAGAGGCTTTAGCACTTTGGGCAAATTGTTATTTATAAAAAGTTGAGGAAACAGGAGTGATTCTCCAGAAAGGGGAGGGGTTGGCTGGAAAGAACCAAGTAGGAGATCAGGTTCCTATCAAAGGAGTTTGAGTCTGTTGCAGGGCTTGGGTCCTGGTGAGGACTAGACTAGCAGAGAAGAAAACTGAGACTGGTTGTGGGGGCGGGATGGGGGGTGGATCGTGGACTGAGGGACAGGACAGGGAGAGCCCCGGAAAGTGCTGCCACTCAGAAGCAGGAGGGATCTGAGCTGCCTATAGCACCCCCCTCGCAGGTCTTTGGAAATACCGTGAATCCAGTTCTGGTAAGTAGGGCGTGAACTGAGGCTGGCAATCACGTGCTTTGCCCTCTGATGGGGTGGCTCAAGAACTGGGTCCATGAGCTGAGCATAAGCCTAATGAGTGTATCAGGGGGTAG